TTAGGGTACCTGGGCAGCCGTGCGGAAGAAGATACAATTGGATCCATTCTTTATATGGTGCACTGAGATAAATTCCAAATGGACTTAAATGTGAAAAATTAAGCCCTACAACTGCGAGAAGAAAACATGGGTGAATTCCTCTGTAAATTATGTAATAAGAAAACTTTCCTAAAGTTTAAAATCCAGAAGCAATGAGAGAAAAGATTAATAAGTCTAATTACATGAAAAAAGTTTGCACAGCCAAAAATACCATGAACACAATATAACAAACTGGGGAAAAATATTATAGATAAAGTATTATTATCCCTAATATATACATAGCTTCTAAATTAAAGAAGAAAAAGGCCACAAATCTGTAGAAACATGGACTAGAGATAGAAACAGAAAAGTCACAGAAAATGAAATAAATCCAGATGGCCCCTAACCATTTAAAAAAGATTCTCAACCTTGCATATAATGAGAAAAACGCAAGTTAAAACTCAGCAAGATGCTATTTCTCACATAGCAGACTGACAAAAGCCAAGATGTTTGACGACATATTCTGTTTATTCTGTTGGCTGAGCCTGGGGGAAGTGGGCGTTCTTACATGGTGCTGGTGGGACTGCAAAAAGGTATAATTCCTTGGAGGGGACTTTGGCAATATCTAGCAAATTACATGTGCATTTACTCACTGAACTGGCTTCCCTGCTTTTAGGTATCTATCCCGAAGATAGTGTGGCAAAAATATGAAAAGACACATGCACAAGGCTATCCTTGCAGCTCTACTTAACAAAAGATTGGCAAAAAGCCGACCGTCCACCAGTAGGGATCTCATTGAATTACTTCCATTTACAATGGAGAGGTATTCAACTGAGAGAAAAGGAAAAGGAAATATTGCTATATACTACTACTACATAGTTATGTCTGGATTATATCGATAAGTGGAAAATGCAAGTGGAGAAATGTTAATATACCATTTACGTGATAAAGAGGAGGGATGTGAATATACATATATATACCTACACACATATATATTTTTCTATGAATATATCTAAACTTGTATTTTTTAAATGGAAAAATAAACCATAAAGAGAGGAAAGGTTACTGATAGGGAGAAAAAAGGGAATAGGGTTGAGGGAATAGGTATAGAAGCTGGTCTTCTCTGACCGTACCTTGTCTGGTAGATTTGATTTTGAAACCAGGTGACTATTTTGTACAATTATTTTTAAAAATTAAATTTAAAAAGTGAAGATGAAATTCCTAAAAATTGAAAGCCATGAAACAAATGAATCTGTCTATTGAGCCAGTGACACAGTGCACACAGGTGAGATATTTCACTGGACTTTATTATTTATTTATTTATTTATTTATTTATTTTGAGGAAGATTAGCCCTGAGCTAACATCTGCTTCCAATCCTCTTCTTTTTGCTGAGGAAGACTGGCCCTGAGCTAACATCATGCCCATCTCCCTCTACTTTATATGTGGGACACCTACCCACAGCATGGCGTGCCAAGCAGTGCCATGTCCGCACCTGGGATCCGAACCAGCGAACCCTAGGCCACCGAAGCGTAACGTATGCACTTAACTGCTGCACCACTGGGCCAGCCCCTCATGGGACTTTAACTCATAGTAATTTGACCGTATATCTATAGTCAGATGGATCCTAAGGACAAAGAAATACCAAAAGGAAAAAAACCCTGCTTTCAGTAATTGTATTGTTGATGATAGTGTTAGTATTATTATTTTGAGATTGTTGTATATGGATTATGAGATGACGCAAACCAGTAATTATAGTGGTGTCACTGAGAACCAGGATTTGGGCATGGGAAGAGGAGTTATAGATATAAGACTGGTAAAAAAAAAAAATGTGGTCTTGAATTTAATTTGGATACATAAATATGAATTCATCATGTATTTTGTCTTTTCAAAAAATATTTATTTATTCTGTCCATTGAAAAGACCTAGAAACAACGATCGTTCCACTAAGATTGAGCACTCCAAGCGCCCAGGGTGTGGTATTTAAATACCATTTCCAACTGAAAGGAACCAGGGGCAGAATTCATTTCTCCAGCCTTTCCTAATCAAATTGTACCTCATCATAAGCTACTAGTTGAGGAGGGGAAGTTTCTCTTTGAAGTAGTCTAGCTAACAAATGAAGAAGGAATAATAGAAAGTCATAATTTTGCAACACCTAATTAATGGTTCTGGGCAATGGTCATCGACATCTGCTGATGTCACCAGAAGAGCGTGTGTCCTCGCCAGGAAGTCCAACCCGAACCCGAACAAGCCCCAGATTTAACCACCAACTTACAGGAGATATGGAGGACAGAAGAACATGTCAAAGCACCCCTTAGAGGCGTGATCAGCAAAACCAGAAGCTTCAGATTTTTTCAACAAATACATCACAAGGGGAAAAAAGGTGTTGAGGGGAATCAGTAAATTTTTTAAAATAGGAGACTTATCAACCAGTTGCAATGAATGGATCTTAACTGGATCATGATTCAAACAAACCGTAAAACAACCAAGGACAATTAGGAGAACTTGACTACCGACTGGCTATTTAATGATTTGGGGGGTGGTAGTAAGTGGGGCATAGACGAAACACGACTGTTGATGGATTGAGAACTGTTGGCGCCGGGCAGCGAGCACACAGGGAGTCTTATGCTCTTCTGTCTACTTTGCACATGTTTGGAATTTTCCAGAATAAATTATTGTTTTTGAAAGCCCACGCTGGACATCAAAAGCTGAATATTACCCTCCTCCTCTTTGCATTCCTCCTACAACCATCCTAACTTTCCTGGAGGCAAATGAACGGTCAGAAACCACACAGAAAGGATTGTAATAGAGAAAAGCAACTGACATATTTCCAAAAATGTTATCTCCATTTCAGAAGATTTTTTTTGATGGAAGATGATAAGTCCCATCCTACATGTGTTGAGTTTGAGATTCCCAGTTCCAAGCAGGAGTTGAAAAGACAAGGCTTCAGGGTGGAAGACATATCAGGGTGGAAGCTGTGGAAGTAGCTGACGTGACCAGCAGAAAAAGCACAGGCAGAAAAGAAAAAGACAAGGACTTAAGAGAGAGTCTCTTCCTTCCTTCCTTCATCTACTCACTCATTCAAAAATATATGAGGTAAGTACTCATAAGATCTCAGAACCTGGGGATGAAAAGATGAAAGGTGGGTTTTATTAAGGAAGAAAGGCACTGAAAGATATGAAAGCATTAAGTTCTGTAATCAAGATACACAAGAAGTACAATGGATACACAGAAGACCTTTTAAGTTTGCCTGAAGAAATGTTCATGTTTAGGAGGCCAAAGAAAAAGGTGAAGCCAAGGCCAGTAGCCATGTCTCAGTTCTGTCTAATGAAACTACTGAGGGACTTCTGTGAAGATGTTTTTCTGCCTACTAAAAGGAAAGTTCTTTTCTGCCCACCTCCTTCCTTGCTGCTTCCTACTTTTGAATGCAGTGTGAGGCTATGATACCTGGTGCAACTGCAGCCATTTTGTGACTGGTATCCAACAAGCATGAGAACAGAAAGTCAACATACTGAGAGTGTTTGAAAGTGCCTGGATCCTTGATGATGTTGCTGAATTGCTCAACAAGTCCTAAACAGCCTACCTCTATACTTGTTAAGTAACAATATATGTTCTTATATTGAAGACATTGTTAAGTCAAGTACTCTATCACTTGGAATGAGATGAACTCCCAACTGTTCTAGTGTCTCCTCCCTACCAAATCATGAATTACTTGGAGAAGCAATATTGCATAATGGTTCCAACAGACCTGTGCTGATGTTTATGAGAGTAATGACACCAATGAAAGACTGGCATGGGCAGAAGCCAGACTCTAAAGGAATGAGTGGGTGGTAAATGTTAGCTTCTAGGAGACCTCCCCCCCACCCACTGAGAAAAAGGGGTAAGGGTCAAAGCCACATACAGGTGGAGTCAGAAGGTAGGAGTTAAATGAGTGTTCTTGCCCTCTGGGCGTTCCCTCTCCGGGCTCTGTCTTCCCCATCCCTTCTCCTGCCCCACAGATGATGTCTCACAACAGACCAGGGCTGCCTCCTGCTGACAGCAGCACAGCACTCTTCTTGTCAAGAAGAGGAAAGAAGGAATGACATCTTGAGAGAGTGGCAAGATCAAGGAAAGAATTCCTTTTAGGGTGGGAAGACTTGAGCATGTTTGCGGACTGCAGCGAGGGAGAAACTGAAGGGGGAGGAAGAGGAAATAATTGATGGAGCACAGTGAGGGGTTAGAAGGGATCAAAAGTTGCAGAGACGGGGAAGTATTTCTTTTTGTGGAAAAAAAGGCAAAGAGAAGAGAATATACAGAGAAATGTTCAGGGGAAGAAAATACAAAGAATCTTCCTAGCCGACTCAGTCTCAGAAAGTAGTGTTGTAGCTGTGGAGAGATTGAACAGGCTGGTCTCTGGTGCCTCACAGACAGCATCTCCCTGTGGCTCCTGGAGGTGAAGGGCTCCGAACTCAGCCCTGTTTTAGAAGTCAGTTTGTCAGTGACCAGAACTGACGCGGCTGAGAGCGCGTGTCTTACGCTAACCCGCGTGGCCCCTCCCTGGGCCTGAGTCCTGTTTCCAGAGCTTCGGAAGCCACTCAGCTTTCTCAAGCTTCAGTTTCCCTATTTTCTTTCTTTTTTTTTTTTTTTTTTAAAGATTGGCACCTGAGCTAACAACTGTTGCCAAACTTCCTTTTGTTCCCCCCTTATTTTTCTCCCTGAATCCCCCCAGTATATAGTTATATATTTTAGTTGTGGGTCCTTCTAGTTGTGGCATGTGGGACGCCGCCACAGCATGGCCTGATGAGCGGTGCTGGATCTGTGCCCAGGATCCAAACCAGTGAAACCCTAGGTGGCCGCAGTGGAGTGCGTGAACTTAACCACTCAGCCACGGGGCGGCCCCTCCCTATTTTCAAATGATTTGGAAAGCAATACTTATCTCAAAAGGCCACTATCATAATCAAACTGATCATTTGTGAATACATTAAGCACAGTGCTCAATCAAATGTTAAGTGTTTTAATTAATTTATTCAACAGAATGATTGAACAGCTGCTGTGTAGCAGGCACTGTGCTGGTGTGTGGACACACATCTGCAGATAAACTGACACGGGACACTTGTCTTCATGAAGCTCTTGTTAGTGCTGCCAGGGGAAGGATAAGTGCAATGGGTCAAAATTCCCATCTGAGGAACACCAGGATTTCCCTCCTGGGAACGTGGCCGTGAGGTTCAGTAAGACACATCCGCAGTACGAAGCCGGATGATGCTTTACGTTTGTGTCGGGAATCATAACTGCCAGGTGACCGATCAGTGCAGTCAGCTCTGCAAAACAAGATCAGAATGTTGCTCGGTAAATGGAGAGTCACGGTAAGCCGTGTCCCCAAAATTCCTGTCTGCCCAGAACCTCAGAATGTGACCTTATTTAGAAAGAGTCTTTGCAGATGTCATTGGTTAAGTTAAAATGAGGTCCTACTGGATTAGGATGGGCCCTAAACCCAACATTTGTGTCTTTATGTGAAGGGGAGAGGCCACAGACAGACAGAAGACAAACGGACACAGAGAAGAAGGCCGTGTGAAGACGGAGGCAGAGAGTGGAGCGATGCCCCTGCAAGCCCAGGAAGGCCCAGAGCCACAGATGCTGGAGGAGGCTGGGAAGGGCTCTCTCCTGGAGGCCCCGGAGGAAGCACAGCCCTGCCGACACCTCGAGTCTGGACTTCTAGCCTCCGGAACGGTGAGAGAATAAATTTCTGTTGGTTTTAGCTCCCCAGTTTCTGCTAATCTGTTAGAGCAGCCGCAGGAAGCTCACACAGGGGAAGGCGAATCTGCTCAGTGTGACTGGCTTGTGGTTCTTGTTGTGAAAGCGCAACGAGGCGGCTTCATTACGGGGTTGTACCCACCAAAGCCACATACTGCTCCTGTTGGCTGATTATGGCACCTTCTCCCTGCACAGAGCTGGGGCCTCAGCCCCTTTTCAGGGACTTCAGGATGACCCATCCCTCCTGCTCATTCTGTCTTTCCTCAATAATTGATGTGCTTTCAGTAACCCTCCACAGTCACACATGCCCAGAGCACACCGTCTCCAGGGTTTTTCAGATGGAACCTCACCCATTGCATTTAGATTGTTCTTTATTTCGCTCAGAATTCGGGGGTCCTGCCCATACCCTCGTGTACTGGTCTCATGTGGTCTAAGCATGCGATGGATGCTGTTCAGGAGAGCTGGGGTCCTGGAGAGAGCGTGGCTGGGCGTGGTCAGGACAGGGTGAATAGAGAGTAAGGAGGTTGCCTCCCTCTTTCTTGCCTCTACTAGGCGAAGGTGGGTCCGGAGACTTAGCCAAACTCTTGTGGGAAGACAGTAACTGTGTAAGTATCAATCCTTTCCCTTCGGATCCCTCTTCCCATGTTCTGTGTCATTTGGATTTAAAAATAAATTGTGTCTCAAAAATGTTGGGGCTACCTAACAATGATCTTCTCGGAATTACTCTGAGCCTCCAGAAGATTTTAATTTCTTCTTGATGAGCTCGCAAAAGGCCTGTTCAGAAGAATAGGAACTTGGCTTTCTATTTGGGAAACAACAGCAAGCGATAAAATAAACACAAGTATAGGTACCTGCGAATATCAGGATGGAAAACACATAGCTGAAAGAAGCGTGAGCGCCTGGTTCCCCGGCTGCGACCCGCCCCTGTCGGAGTGCAGCCTTGCTGTCGTCGCTCTCCGTCGCAGGAAGTGTGTACCTTGACGGACAGCTGTCCGCCTGGTCAACCCGGGTTAGAGTTACTCGAGTTTGCGTTGGTCTGCCTTCTTTAGGTTGCCAGCCCCAGGGGTCAAAGACGACAGGTATAAATATTTGTAGTCCCAGGACAGTGCTTTGCAAGCACTCAGTAAATGCCTTATGTTGATAAAAGGTACTTCCGTAGTACTTGTGTTTTGGTCTTTCGCTATTAACACCATTACATTAAAACCTTTTGTTAACTGCTGACACGTGATGTGTTCAAAACACACTTGGTTTTCTCTCCCATTGTCCTTTTAAACGTGTCCGCTGAAGGCAGTTGTCCCTGGCCATGGATGGAATGTCGCAGACCCCTGACTCCTCTGCTCTCTCTTAGATGCACAGCTCCGTGTCACTGCAGGGTCCCGGGAAGGAGCACGCTCAGCCGAACGCGTCTACCAAACCCTTCAGCCTCCCCTCAGAGTCAAGACCCGCTTTCACTCCCAGCCCCACGCTAAAGTAGGTGGCAGGCTGCTCTCCGGGGAGGACAGGGGCGGGGGGGGCGGGGAGGGACGGTCTGCGATTTCGGTTAGCGTCCGGGAGGAGAAGCAGGGGTCGGGGAGGGGTCTGGATCGAGGGTGGCGGCTGAGCTGGGCGCAGAGGCCGGAGGGAGGGGCAGAGCCGCTGGCTCCCTGCGTCTCTGGCCTCAAGAAGGAAGCCCTCCGTCTTGCAGCATGTAGTTAAGCTGAGTCCCAGTGCCAGTGCCACCCTGCCCCGCCCCGAAGGCAGAGCAGCCGGCGGCGAAGAGCCCGCCCGGCTCCCAGCCCGCCTTCCGCAGGCCCGCGGCGCCCACGCTCCGGAGGCGCAGGACCCAAGGGGCCCAGAAAACTCAGCGGTCAAGACAACGAATCTTGTGATGCAATATTTTAAACAATCAAAATTAACGGAAAAAAATCCACCATGAACAAGACGTTACTAATTTTTCCTTTTGCCTCAGGCTCCAATGTGGTTAGCAGAGCTTTTACTAATCTTTATTTTAAAATTTGGATATTTTGCTCATCATGGATTTTTGTCATTAATTTTGAGCTTTAGAATTATTGCATTAAAATATTATTCATTTTAAATTGCATTATAGCTGAGTGCACGTGAACACGTTACACATGAACACAGCCTTTAAAAATGGCCACCTGTAGTATTATGTTAAGCGAAATAAGCCAGACAGAGAAAGACGAACTCTATATGACCCCACTTATAGGTGGAAGTTAACATATAGACATGGAGAAC